TCACGTGTTCTGCCAACTCCACCTAGGTGGGATAAGGGCGGGATAATGATTATGATTATCTCAGAAGTCATGCAATTTAGGGCAAAAAGTCATAAACATATTATTGTAGAGAATAAAACATCGCATATTTTTTACCTATAATTTTTTTGGTAATCTTACCGCTTACGATTTATGGTTCATTTAATGAACGAGTTTTTCTATCTTATCTCATCCGATAACTTACAATATTGGATAAATCTATAATATGCGTCTACCTACTTTTATTTGATTTTTTTCTTCCAATATCCATAATTTTTGAGATATGGGATGTTTCATTTTCGGCTTACTATAAATTCCTGAGGAAATAACCACTATAAATAACCAATTGCATTTAAAGCTAAACTCGTACTCCCTAAAGATTACATAAATTTTCACAATGTCACAATCAGTCGAAATTTCGTAGTTCCTATAAACGAATAAATTGACTGTGACGTTACGCGATAACGGTGTGACAAAGGAAAGGAAAACCAACCTTCTGCGAAATTATTTCATTTACACTCGCTCTGAACATCTTCTGTCCACGCATATCTCGAATACACACATGCGTACAGCAGTGTCGAATCAAATTGATGGAGTAATGGAAGGTAATAAGTTATAAAATTAATACGTCGCAACTTACTTATTACGTTAAAACAAGAACGTTCCATAAAGTATATCTCATATTATTCTATTGCATCCATATCCTGCAACGTAGCTTATGAATACATCTTATTAATACATCTTTTATAAATACTGTTGGAAAGACAGAGATACACTAAAACCATGTGTTGCATTCCGTTGAGTCCCTCCCGACTCTTTTTTCAACGGGGAGGGACTTTTTACAGAATGCAAAACAACCCACTTAAATTTAGCTTGTCCCTCAAGAGAATAAGGCACAAACTTTTGCTGCAATGACAACATCAGGCATCCGTATCGACGCCCTTTCTGCTCTCCCGGATATCCCAAAATACCAAAGTTCCCATTCAGTCGTTTACAAAGCAGTGAAGGATATCTTACTTCTATTCTACATTCATGAGGCTGTATAACTGAATATTTAGTAGCTCTGACTCGTCCCAAACGGGTCCTACTTTCTGCGGTACGTCCATAAGTATGAGTCCCCAAACGCATTGGAAATTCCGTTCACATTTCTCGTCGCTTCATCTAGTCGCAGTACTAGCTATATCAATTAAACCGATGATCAAAGCAATGAAAGGTAAAAATAAAGTAATGAAAGACAAAACTGCTCAAAAAGACCTCAATGTAATTAATAAATTGTTCAAATATAACCTACTCACAATAAATACCTCAAAAACATCTTACATGGTTTTTGCACGCAAAATAAATCGATACCAACTTTCCCACCTCTAACTATAAATTATGATTATTTCATTATTTATAGTCAGAGGTGGGAAAGTTCAACGCAAAGTACAACGCTCAAGTGGGGAAAAACACTTAGGCCTATTGATAGATGACAAACTGACTTGGAAGCTTCACATTAACAGTGTGCAACCTAAACTCGGATTAGTATTGGGAGCGTTACGCAAAACAGCAAATTATCTACCAAATAATCTACGCACTATCATCCAAAACTAAACTCTAAAAAATACGAAAAAACACGATTACTTAATCTCACACAACTATACACATACTACACTTGCATTCTAGTTAAAAAAATTAGCGATAACATTATCCAAACAAACATAGCACTACAGAAAAAAAAGTCACATTTAGAGAAATAAAAATAAACTTCAATTATCTTGCCCGCGTACAAACTACGGAAAGAAAACTGTCTTATTTGAGGGAGCACAGTTGTTTAACAATTTACCCAATTGGGTACTGGGAACACTCGTGAGAGTATTAAAATCGTTCAAAGGGAAAAAAAACAAACATAAATTTCACGCGGATAAACACCCAGATAGGAAACAACTATCTGTAAGTCACGCAAATAGTTGTTCCGTGTGGGCCTCAAACCCACGTCTCCCGATGCCGAAACCAATACCTTGACGACTGCGCCACGGAGTCATCAAAGAAAATAATGAATATACTCAATTTAAAATAAATCTAATTTTAGATTCGATGAATTAAACAGACCCATCTAGCGGGAGACGAGGAGCCTCTTATCGGTTCCATAGTTATTGAATGGTTCGTTGAGTATTCACAAACGCAGAGATGGTTAACCGAAGTTTAAATTAAACGTAACTTTATTGAACTAATAGCTAACCTGAATTTAACCCAGAACTTCAGAAATCGAGCATAATTTGTCTGAATGTGGGTAAGCAATGCAAAAACGAATGTAAGCAAATTGCAATTTAATTACAAATAGTTAGAAATTCTGACACAGATCGCACCCGTACTATAAGCCGTTAAAGAGTTCCATTGATCACAATATATGACTACGATAATTACTTTACTATAATATCATTTACTGTGGGATAAGGCAGAGAAGAAGAAAAGCCTGTAAGAGATTCAGCCTATTATAGTTAAGTTGCTGCTAATAATAGACGAGTTCCGTTACTTTGTCATGGATCGCATAATCAGAACCTTACCAAACTCTTATCAAACTACCCTTGAAGTACATCCTTCCGAATAAAAGGAGAATCATGGAAATCGGTTGGCGTGATATTCACCCATTTGTCGCGCACTTAATGCAAATTTAAGACTTATATTACAGTTTTCCCATGGATGCCATTGTTAGAACTGGAACAAAATTAAATGGAACCACACAAGAAGTACCAGCTTTTAAATAAAAAAATAATCATCAAAATCGGCTTTCTCAGTTGAAAGTTCTGAGGTAACAAGCATAAAAAAATACGGCCGAATTGAGAACCTACTCTTTTTTTTGAAGTCGGTTAAAAAGAGCATAGGAGGCGTAAACACTCTTATTGTTGGAACTTGGACTTATTTTTGGATGATACATAAATATGTACGAGTGGACAAAATTCAAATCTCCTCAAATTAGTGTAGTTGGTCATATGATAGAGCTATTATCAGGATAGGGTTGATCTTGTTTTTTCAGTTAATTTACGAAGACTCACATAAATACCGCATTAATGAGGTATCAATAATTATTTGCAGGTTTGTTACTTTGGTAATTAACCAGAATCCTTTATTTTTAATGTTTCTCTGTTGTCCAGTATGAAGAGGCATAAAACATATAAATGTATGTCTGTACGTATGCAATATAAGTGTCAACAGTCTTAACATTATTTGAGGACTATAGTTAGTTTATTTATAGCCAGCTTTGTTCGCGCAAAAAAGCCTTTGCAATTTCGTCGTCAGCAGTCATGTTTATGATGACATTTTTTAAGAAATCAGTTTTTTTTTCGGAAGCGAAAAGAAAGTGAGAAAATATTTAAAAAAATCAGAAAAGGTCGAAATGAAAGACCCATTCGGCACAAATTACACTAATTAATGTTTAATGTTAAATAAGAACATTCTCCTTTCTAAGCCTGCTTGATTATATTAAAAAATTCTCGGCCACGTATTTTGCTACACGAAGCTACGACTTTTTAATCCCATCGACATATATACCTGATCACATTTCAATATTCGCATCAAAGCGGTCAGTGATTCTATTTTAATAATATCAATAACTCGAATGAATTTACTAGTATTTCATTCGATAGCAATCCAATTACATGCGTCTAAATCGTTGGCGTGCAGTGTTTTCTTTATTATATTGAATTCCTCTATTTGTGTCGATGGAAAATGAATTGAACAAATACATTCCCGTTCGCATTTGTATGGGTCTCACACAAAACAGGTTTTGTGTTGGAAATTAGAAACCTCGCAACCGTTTTTAACTCCATGGAATGTTCCCTATGATTGAATTCGTTCAGTTGTACCGAAGGACAATGAATTGAACGAATGAAACGTTACGTTATTTGTATGGCTCTCACACATATCATTCTTTATTTGTTAAGAAAAATCTGCAATAATTTCTAATGCGATAGAGTCGTTCGCGAAGATTCACTATACATATTATATGCTGTGAAAGAAATTTATCAAGAACTAGCTGTGCCCGGGACTTCATCCGCATGGAATTATATATTACATATATTAAAAAAATTAATAAAAGTATTCAAGTTACTTCTTATTACATTCTATTTGCCAGTGAAATTCCCGTCAAAACCGGTCCAGCCGTCCAGCTTCTTTCGGGCAGGCATTTTGAAAAAAAGTGCCAGCACCAGTGTTGCTAACACTCAAAAACATTTTTTTCATAAATAGACTAGTTTATGAGAATAAATATTAATAATTATATTGAAATAATAATATTTCTTTAACACTTTATTTTTTTTAAATTTTGTATGGCACAGCATACAATACCAAATTAAGGGTTAACCTTTGTGAAATAATTATTGATTCTATATTCTGATCATTATCATTTGTCTGATTATATTTTTGATGGTTTGGCCATTGACTATTGAAATAATTTGACCAGTTTATTGTATATGTTATTAAAAACTAGACTGGATTAAAATCAAAGTGTTCTTCCCCAATCAAAAGTTTTCCTCAAATACTCCCAAACTTTTCATTGAATTAATGAAAATTAATTATTAAAAGCAACAAAAGCAAAGAAAATTATTAATAAAATGAGTAGTGTAAAATTTAAATATGTAGTGCTAATTACTTAAGAACAAATTTCACTAGCTCCTTGTCTTGTAACGTTGGTAGCGCGGGTGTAATTTAATTAATTAATATTTGATACATGCACATTAGTGCAAGTATTAAATCTATAAATACTTTTACATAAGTGTGTTTATAGTACGTACCTATATGTTTGTATCAAAATGGATTATGAACACATGAACAAAGACATTGCAAGTAGAAAAAGACATGTAATTTTGATTATTTTATTAATGAAACTTATTTATTACGTCCTTATAAATATAATGGTATAAAATTGTCAAAATATACAACCTAATTATGTGATGTTTGGCTTAAGCTAGTTTAATTACAATCTAATCTTTGATTTGGTTTCATTTGTCCTTTAATTTTGTCTGTGATTTACCTGAAAGCGAAAAATGATTTATTAAAAAATGATTTTTCTATGATACAAAATATGCCAAATTAGGTTTGTATTGTTTATTTAATCGAAGGCCACTATCTCGCCAAATTACCATTCACTCTTGACGTAAAGACGTTTGCATTGTAGCCAGTCGGTTAGACTGACGATCACAGAATTGTTCCACTGCATTGCAGTGCACGTTACAAACAATGTGGCTAACCCCTACGCTCTAACTTAAGTCAACAGTAAACAGATAATTAAGTTTAAGCTTAGCGTTCAGTCATCTACTTATCAATTTATTTAAGAATATTTACCGAAATATATCCTATAGACTTGATTGAATGGCATCTCAATGGTCACCGTCGCTACAATAGAGACCACCAGGACGACCAGCATCTCCGGTGCGTGCATCTGAAATGTGTTGTTATGACAAATCACGGAGTTGTAACGATATTTCAAAATTTATCGTGCACAGATTGTGACCTTTAACTGAAGATAACGCGGAAATCACGATCAAATTAAGATGACCCATACTTCATGAAACATAATTCATGCAAATGTAGTTCTACGTACCCTAACAAAACAATACTTTCATGGGTTAAGCAGCATACTTGTCACAAATTGGGTTAGTGGTTTATATAATAGACTTTATCTTCTGTACTAAGTATTTATATACTTGTTACTTTGGACAAAATAATTTCGAACGAGAATATTTTTTGTCTCATACTTTTAGAGCACGACTTTTAGTAGTCGGGTTTTAGTTTTGAACTAAATTTTGATTTGAATTATTTATTAATAATTACACATTTTTTTTAATAAATTATTCCCATCAATCGGATGCATGCCAGCAAAGCCGCGAGCAGAAGCTAATAATATATATATTTTTGAAATGTGTTTATTCAACTCTTTCATTTTATATCTATCACAGCATCATTAAAACAAGATTAGTTCATGACTATGTCCTATAGACCGCGACATATTCCGTTTAATGTGACGTCACAAAGCCTATAACCAGGGGAAGATCGAGACGCTTCCAACTAAATGAAGTATATTTGTCAAATTATGATGACCAGTTTAGAAGTTATGAGGGAACAGTTGGACACAAACCATACATACAAACCAACAGGTCAAACACATAACCCTCCGCCGTTTAAAAAAACAGAACATTAAATTCTACTCTGACTTGCCATTTAATCTCTAATTCTTTTAATAGCTCCAGTTGATATCTAATTCTTTTAATATGTTATATTACAACAAGTGTTATTTTATTTAGATTATGTTATTTTGTATGGATATTTTTAAGTATATCTGCTATTAAAAAGCATAAAAATTGTCAAAAAACACTACCACCACTACCAGTAGCAACGAATTCTTTTTATTTCACCCATTCTTAATTTGAATTTACACATAAACTGTTTAAATTAATCATTATTATATCTCATAACTTTTTACCATGCCATTGTACTTACGAGTAATAGAGGTGTGTAAAACTCGGCGTGCCTCTGAACGCCGACGTTGTAGAAGAATATCGGGAATTGAGTCAGGTAGACTCCGTACGCTATCTTGTTGAAGAATTTGAACGCCCTCGAATCCACGAACGCCGCCCCGACGCCTGGGGAAATTTGCATCGTCGATTTTACATCGATACCGCACAACGGGGTAAATCACTTTTACATATTATTGCATAAAATATCCACAAAACTGACAGTTTATATTTGAAAGAAATCTGAACATGGATAGGGGAATAGTGACGGGTAGAAAAATTAAATATAGAATCAAAATATCATTACTTGAACAAGAGTTTACAACTTTTATACGTACTGTACGTACTCTGAAGGAAATCGAATCATTCATCTAATGTTGCATCTAATACGAAGCAGTTTATATTGCATCATATTATGACATAAACCATTCAGAAATAAAGTTAAAGAAACGTCATTAAGAAATAGAGTTAAAGAAACGTTTATATTACACTGGAGTGTGCTGCGTTTGGATAAAATAGTCCAAAGGAACAAAATAAACACAATCATTTCTATATTTCGTTTGCAACACCAACTTGTCACCTCTATTGGGCGAGGCCATACACATTTGGTATCGGCGTCAAAAGTTGCAGCTTTTATGCCAGAACGGTACATTTTTCACGTGCTTTATCACGCGTCACGCCAATTCTATGCCGGGTCGCTGGAGAATCGACGTTTGTTTCGATCAACCGAATTGATTTTTATACGGAAAAATAAATATTATATAAGGAATTCAACCCGGAAAAGCACTCTTCATTAAACACTCATAGTAATTTGCTTTTGATACAAAAAATAGAGAAATAAGTACACAATTGTGTACTTAAATTGTGTGAAATATTTTTGGAGCAAAACTGACGGTCTATCTTTTTGAATATACCCTTTCAGAAGGAAAATTTATGTGACATTACTTTCCATATACTTATGACTAAAGTTAATTTTATAATATGGCGAAATAATTTTATTATAAAATGAAAGAGACTTTCTTCCTTTGATGTAGGACAACGCTTTTAACGGTTTGGTAATTATTGTTTGAAAGTTCGAACTCCTTATCTGTAGGACAACGCTTCTAACGGCTTGGTAATACGAAGGTTCGAACAAACCTGCATAGTCATTGCAAATAGCCCAGTGCGCAATGCACATGGACAGTCCCCACATAACTGGCGAAAATGCTGCGAACAGCGCCGCCGGGAAGTGCTCATACTGGTACCCTTCGAGTCCCATTTGGTAGGGGCTTGCTATTGTGAAAGCAGCAAGACCGAAGCAAGAAGCCCATAGTAGCCGAACTTGTGTCTGTAGAGAGCAAAAGCCATTTATGAGATTTAATTGTTCCTCGCTACCCTTTCACACGTCTAACATTATAAAATGTGTACGTTCGTAATTAGTTATACTTCTTTAGCGTAACGAAAGAAAAATAATTAAAAAAATCCCCTGTTGCAGTACTTTTCTTTTGTAAAAAATACATTGAATTAAAATGATAACGGTTTAATTAATAATTATGAGTTATAGCTAAATGTCAAAAACTTGTTATTGAATGCTATGGTTATATCGTGAAGTTTTTCGAAGTTGCTCACTTTGCAAGCACACTATAACACTGAAATTTTAAAAATTCTTTCATTTTTTTTCAAACGCGGCAAACTTCAACTATCCGGCTTAAATTTTTTAGATATCTACATTTCATGGAATTGTTAAAATTTTTGCAGGAAATTGTTAAAATATTCTATTCACATATTTGTTCTCGGTGCAAAGCGACAGGCTTCCAAGAATTCTGAAGCTCGAAAGCACTTTTTGTGATAGCAGTATATATATATATATATAAGAATATTTTTCAGTGTTTAGGATGACACAGCAATCAAAACACAATTGAGTTTCTCTGTAATTAAAGAAACGACATTTAATGTTAATAATCACAATGTCGATTCCTAAATCACTATTTTGCTTATTAAATATCTTTGTAATCAGATTATTTTCATGAATTGCTTCATATGACAGCTTAATTCTTTTTCTGTAATAATCCGGCGTACAAACATAGTTTTTAAAATAAATTTTATCAAGGGCCGGTGCGCGAAAATATTTAAATTAAAGAAAATATTTAAATAAAAGAAAATAATATTTTTCTTTACATATATATATATATATATATATATAATGTAACGTTATTTTTACTTTGTGATCACAAAGCCAGACTCAATTTGAACCAGAACTTGCTTCATTTAAAGATCAAAAAGGTATTTGCAATGAAGTAATAAGAAAATAAATGTTTGTGGACTATACTAGTCAATAGTACTACGGCTTACATCACTGAGCTTGAAGTCCAATTTCTTCGATCTTATGATGTAGGCCATTACGACTCCGATGAGGTATATTGTGGCACGATGGGTCGGTAAAATGTAAGAGTACCTGGCTGCGTCCAGCAATTTTTGAACACTGAAAAGATACTAAACATTGAAAGTGAACCTTTATACATTTTATGTACTATGGCCTTGGTTTGTAACACGATTATTAAAAAAATTAAGTTATTAACATATCTTCTCAGCCTTGTACGTCAAAGTTATTTTTTTAATCAATTTAGGTTATTTTTAAACACCAGTGAATATTTAAATCTTTGAACCGTTTGCTAACTTGAAATATTCCAGAGAGGAATTGGTAAGAAACTCTGTGGTCAAATACTCAAAGTAAATATATATTATTTGTCCCATTCCTTTGCAAATACTTTCTCTGTACAGGCATCGCCCACCATGCGACTCCACTGCGGATTGGCAGACTTCACAATACATTCGAAATACTTGTTTGATAATTTCTTAAATATGCAGGTTTCTTCTCAATGTTTTCCTTTACCGGCGGTTGTAATTGCAAGTTGTAAATAAGCAGTTAAAATAATAATTAATCATTTCATTCGTCTTCGTGGCAGTAACACAATTTTAAATTAGGCTGTTCACGGATTTATCACAGCCTTTATTTTAAGAAACATGATAAATAAATTCATTAAAGATTCTACCGAGCAAAAGAATATAATTTTATGAACAGTTTAATTTACATATCTTGTTTCATCCAATGCTTTTGACGATTTCAAAACCAGATAAAACGTTTGATAGAGTTAAAATGGAATTCATGCATGAAGGCTCTACAGCAACTGCGCGTCATCGATTTTACGAACTTCAGTCTGGTCCCGTTTTGTTTGCGTTATTATTAAAGTCGAATAAATTTTGCTTCAAATCAAGTTTTCACGCCGTATCACTAATGCGTCATAAAATTAAGCAGGGATTATTTTTCATTTTACTTTTGACCAATTTATTCACTATGACAGTTTCTGGTGAAGATTTTTTTGTGTAGTTTTCAAGCGAGCAGGCGGTTCACCTGATTTTAATTGAATATCATTACGGTATTCAATTAGCCGCTTAAGTGATGTAGGTGTCTGTGGGTAGCGAGACATAGACATCTACAACACTGCGGTGGCAGATGCGTTGCCAATCTTTGAAAGGTGGACCAAGTTACCCCGTTTCACTTCCACTTCAAACCGGTCCTCTATGCGGTCGGGGTACTTCCCAGGATGAGCCTGCCCATACTTCCAACTGCGGAAGCCACTACGCGGCCCTACCATAGTGATTACGTTACGAAGCATATTTAATGTAAAATGGTATACCACAAAAGTGTTCGCTACAGCGAGCATTCGAAATTAGGGCATTAAAGGCTACTCCCTCAACATGACAAAGTACATACTCATATTAAAAACACTCTGTAAGTAGCCGAATGTCGCTTTCCAACAACAACAAGGAGGGTTCGACTTGTATGTACGTTTACCCGATTACGGACCCAAAAAGGATAGATATGTTTTGACCAGCATGTATGTATGTTTGTTTCTATATTCCTTGTTGTTTATAATCATGTTGTATATAATCATTCTTTATTGCCCACTACAGTATACAAGACAAATAACTAATGCGTTTTATAAACATTCAATAAATCAGTGTCAATTGAAACAACGCATGTTCGATCGATTGACGCGTCCATTTCCAAGTAATTAAGCTAATTTTCCACGAGATTCACCGAATAATAATTAGCCGTTGCCGCATCAATGAATTATACTAAACTAATTACTTGTGAGATTGTGGAAACATGACTCACCGGTAAGGGTACCGGCCCCACAATGAGGTCAGAGAGAATCGCCGAATCGTGTAGTTATATAGTAATAGAAACCGTTTTCATGGGAACAGTTACATTAGGAATTTGTGTTTATATTTTATTTACATAGTTATTGTTATTAATTAAAAAGCAAATGTCGATTGTTCTTTTTAGAGTTATGTATTTATAATATAATATTATTTTTATGACTGTCTGTTATTATTAAGACTCGTGACGCTAGGACAATAAATGCCAATGTAATTACATATATGTACATGTTTTTCAATAATTCATCAATACCGGTTTAAGCGTAGTACCTACGAGGAAACACAGAGACGGACATACATACATGCTGGTCAAATATGTAAATCTCCTTTTTAGTTTCGTTATAGTCGGGTTAACATACATACAGGAACACATTACTTCTTGTTTGGCTCTGTCTCGAACGAGTAAAAATAATGTATCAAAGAGAATATTGAACTTACGAAATGCCGTAGTACACGAACATGCTGATGTCGTACCAATGTATGGCCAGGTATCTGAGGACGGTCGAGCCGACGGCGATTGTGACTACCAGGAGCCAACCCAACGCTCTGAATTTCCACAGGAAGAGCATAAGGGGTAAGGTGGCCACGTACAGCTGCACATCCATCCCGATTTGATGCGTATGAGTGAGGCACTAACGGGAGAAAAATCACAATTAAAGAAGTGAGATGCTTTGAAATCGTTACAACGTGGAAGTGCAACAAGTAGTATTTAACCGAATAATTAAATCAACTCGTATTCTTGGTTGTGCATAGCTCAAAATATACACTTTTGTACCTTGGACACAATGGCTAGGTAGAAGTGTTTGTGGTATTTTCTTTTATTTGGGATGAAATGACAAAGCGGTTCACCTAATGTGAATGATTACCGCTGCCCATGATATGAAATTCTTCACCAGCCAGATGAAACGCAAATATTTAATACTTTCACTTCAAGTTATTCTTCCGGGAGTTCGTGTTACTTCTCAAGTCTGTACAAGTCTGTACTTTCGAACAATAACACAGGCCGCTGCGTGGCTCTCTCATAGTTAAATATATAATAATAGGGATAGAACGAATCAATTTCAACATTTATTTTGTAAGTAGTCGCGTTTGCTTCATTGTATTGTATACATTTTTTGAACTGATTATTAAGATACATGGATGGTTCAAGTGTTTAGGTTGTGACCGGGTGCGAGGTGATGAGGGTACGATTCCCACAATTGGTAAGTCTGAGTATATATTGTGTCTCTAAGTTTTCAAGTTTGTCAGACTTCTCGCGATACTTACTAATGTAAGTGGGTTTTATAAATAAATAGAGTAAGCGATATGCTTAACAGTAAACATAGCTAAATAAACAACAAAGTAAACATAGCTAAATAAACAAGACCGGCTTCTATATACTTGTAACTACTGATAAGGTAATAATGCATAATGTTGAGATAATAATGGCAAGTATAAAATTTTAATTAGTTTCTAAACGTGCGTTAACTGACGTGTGTAAAACAAACGCTAGAGGGAGACACACAAACGAGTGCTGCATCATTATACAATGTCGGAAGACGAGCCTTTAAATATTTAAGTGACACAGTAAGTGGGTATGTAAGTTTGTGAAAAAGGTGACCTCAATTGCTATTGTTCCATAGTCTTGTACCACGATACCCAGTGTTGTGACTAGCCCAATATTAAAAAGTTTTTCACGTGTAAGAATATTAAAAGAGGACGCGAAGGGAGCCACAATGGAAGAACTTCATGATTAACTAATAATTACGCAGTTCTCTTTTCATAATTGCAACACAATTGCTGTTTGCAATCCCACGTAAATATAATAGCAGGTTCATAACATAGATAGTTTTTAAAATATTTTGCGGCATCGGTTGAATCGGTTACTTATTTGTTTGTACCGTCTTGTATTGATTTTTATTCTCTAATTAGTCATGTTATTAGTTACGCATCGGTCCGGAACGACCTCGTAGAGCATAAATTTTAACTAGAACTTTTTTGGTGATTTTTGTAGATACCATTTATTGTTTTTGTTGTTTCAAATAAGACATTTTATATCATCGCGAGACCGACTATTATAATTTGTGTATATTGTAAAAAATCTGTTGGAAAGATATTTATACTCACAAAATGAAATAAATAGTATACATCAAGTGTAGTTTTATTAAGAAACAGTTAAATTAAGATTGCAATAAAAAGGATAGTTTGCAAACGAAGCAATAAAAGTTGCTTCGTTCATAAAAAATAGCTTCACTACAACCGTACAGATCACAGTGATATAAATTTTACATGATTTTTGTATCGCTATATTCCTTTGGGCGTACATTTCACTGTTATACGCACCATTTCCTCGAATCCGAAGTAATTATGAATGAACAGGAAGCTCCTCCACATGTTCTTTTCGCAGACTCTGCTGTGCTCCTCAACGACTAGGTTCCACTGGGGACCGTTGTTAATGTCCGGAAGGATGTAAGTACAGAACAGCATGAGGCTCAGGAAAAGCGGGAACAATCTGAAGAATGTTTGGTCTTATTAATAACAAAGGTATATCGCAAGTGATATTGACGGCTAAATTTAAAGTTGCAACTGTTTTGAAGTTTTCTTCACCACGAAAGCTTTATAAATTTGAGGTATCTATGGAATTAATTTTTTTTGTATCTTTTCGATTCTAAAATAGAATGTTTTTTTTATTAATTTTAAATAGTTCTGCGACGCTATCGCGATGTCAAGATCATTGATTGATTTTATATATTTTTACATTTATTGCAATATTAAAAATTATGTTACAATTTATAATTAAAGCAAATATCACATTATGATTTCGTATATATAGCTCGAATACTGCTCATTAGTAAACGGGACTTGACTTGGTGAATGTTTGTTATTATCTTTTAATGTATATTAAAAATATTTTTTCTTAAGAGGAAGTCTCTTATATATATGTGCAACTATCAGTCCATGACTTAAATATCGAAAATTTATCACGTATTAAGTCTTTAACATTTTCGAACACGTGCCAGTCGTATTAAAACGTAAGTAATAACAAATAAATGAAATTTTAATAGTATAACAAATTAATTTGAAATAATCATTTAACCGTGCTTCATTAACACAGATGAAATACAATTTCGTGTTAACAATTAAGCAAATAATAAACTGTGATATCAATTAAGCCACAAATAAATACGCTTTTAATTCGAACAGCGGAATGCGACCAACCCTGTTAGGCCCTCGTAAAGATTCCATTTAAATTGGTAACGTTTTATTTTCGATATCTTTTGTCTTTATTACAAGGTTTAAACCACCGTTTTACTCAAAAAAAAAATTAAAGGGTAAATGAAGCTATTATGATGAACTGGATTTACATATATTTTGTTAATTAATACACATCATAACAGGTGATTTAATTCTTCATTTTCATTTAAATATATTTAATTTTAAAATGAATAGGATAATATAATATATTACGGGTAATAATAATATTACTACTACCATAAGTAAGTAAAGTTAAGTAGCAGCCTATACATGTCCTACTGCTGGACAGAGGCCTCTGTACAAAGGGTATCAGGGCATAGTCCACCACGCGGCCCCACTGCGGATTAACGGACTTCACATATCTTCGAAATATTTTTTTTTATTATTATTTCGAAAATATGCAGGTTTCCTCACGATTTTTTCCTTCACCGATGAGCACGTGATAATTCAGCACTTGAAATTAACAATTTCGGTAAAAAGGTGCCGGCACCGGAGATCGAACTCAGGTTGCTCGAGTATATTGAATTAAAGGCGAGCGCTCGGACACTGTTATATATATATGTATATACGTTCAATTTTTTTATTTATTGTTTTAGCTATATCATGTACACTTAAAGTTGCACCATTACTACGCTAGCTTTAATAACATCTCTTAAAATTATTTTAAATCGGTTAATATCGACATTTGTTGTAACTTCGTACCTGAACCACCTTGCAAGCAATCTTTTCTTCATGTCAATGGTGCCTTTGCTTTCCAACTCTTGAAGGAGGTTGTGCGCATTCAAGAAACCGCTTAGATACAGAAAACTGTCCGTGTAGACAATAGCAGAGCGGCCTATTACTGCCCACGGCATGCCGAACACCTAAAATTGTAGGGCATTATAGTTATGTAAACTATATATAATATATATATATATATATATATATATATATATATATAGATAGATATTATACATAGGTGTCATATTAGTAAGGTTGAAGTACATCCATATATCTATTCACGAGAACTGCTGCCGACAAACTGAATCACAGTTTGGCAGAGAATAATTTATGTTATTGTACTTGAATACTGGATTAAATAAATAAAAAAAAACTTATTAGTGGGGAAAAGGGTGTATTTTCTGGGGGATCAGAAGCTTTACGGTTATATCACTCGCAGGTCGAACTGCAAAAGTCTTCTTCTTCCTTCTGTCTTTATCTCACCTAAGTAGGGTCGGCTCAAAATGTGAATAATAAACATCATTAGTGGTATTGGTTAGGTTTTTATTTTACCACCGGCTGCATGCCTGACGTTAATACTCCTTGGGAATGAATGCACAGAACTGGAACAATTATGTGTGTGTGTCGCAAAAATACTTGTCTCGTGTGGGAATTGAACCCACGACCCCCGGTGCCAAAGCCATTAGCTTAGTAACTGTGCCACAATCTATTTATTGCACTTCCAAGGATGACTAAGAAGCTTTTGTGCGTATCTGACACTATCTGTAAGTGACGCGTTAGTAATTTACTGTTATCCTATATTTTATCTTAATTTGTTTATTGGTTTATGTTATTTTAATTTTATGTTTATATTTCCATTTTTATACGGCGATGTCGAAAGGGCGCATTTAGTTACGATTTTTTTTATTTCGAACAAGTTCGGGTATTAATAGTCTATCTTGTATTCGACGGCAAACGCGCTCTCCTGAGTTTTAAGTTGTATACATATCGAGTGCAAATAAAAGCTAGTTTACCACATTACATCGAATTTTACTGCGGGATCGCCCTCTAAAGGCAATTTATAATGACTAAAACTTACCATTGCGAATGTATTAATTTATGAAATGTATTTGTGGTCTACCATGATTAAGATTTTTAATATAATTGTGCTATTTATTCACAAATTAAGGATATTGCAGAAATACACGAAGGAATTATAATTATGTAATCGGATATACATATTCATGTACTTATGTTTGAGCAGACACTGCGAAGTTTCAGCATCACAAAAACGCTTATCAAAGTTACGCCGTAAGCCGTTTGTTGATTGCCGAAGTTCTTCAGACTCCACAACTTTTAATAACTTTGATATAGGGGAGTGTATAAATTCATTAAAGCAATAAAAGAGGCTAAAGTTACTCCATGAGCAATAGAAAGAACTAGGGTTATGGTATCTCTGAGGTATTGCCGGGAACAAAGAGTCAATAGATAACCAATGTTGCCGATGCCAATCAAGCGTAATGCGTCGAAGTTGAAGTAGCGGTGAGCTGACAGTATCCACTGAACTCTTATAACTGAACCTCTTTTCGGATAGTGAATTAGCTAGTGCTAAATAGGATTCCCTGTCGTAAAAAGTAGTGACAATGAAAAAGGGCAAAGTAGCGCACCTTGGGGAAGCCTTCATCGATGTACGATTGGACTGTTACGGGTTAATGATGGTGGTGATGAGTAAAACATCGTTTTTAAGTTTCATTTAAAATGTAAGTATGTGAAATTATTCATGGGATATATCATGCTTTTCATTAAAATAATGAGATAAAACTTCATAAAATAGATTTGGTTTCTGCTTCACTCTTTCTCCCTATATATTAACGTGTTACAGAAACAAAGCTAATATTTAACATCATGAGTTTCGAAATACGTCACAATGTTGATTCTAACGTGTACTAGGTTTGTGGCAGGCTTTAGTTTGCTTTGTGCTACATGAAACATAAACTCACTCATTAACTTGTATGAGCTTATTATTTCAGTACCTATAAATATAATACTGATAATTTTTTGCATCTATACTACTATGAGTCATTATTAAATGAACGATTTTAACATATAATAAAACAGAAGATTGAACGAAACTCATCACGCGTGCATATTGTTATATGAATCGCTATAAACGTTACATGAGATTTGATAAAGGAAATAAATCTAATAAGACCAATAAAACGAAGAAACCCGATTTTAGGTTCAATAAAGTGGTTCGTAAATTTTAATATCTTTATTTACATCGGGTGAAACGACAACTCTCTTCACACCTTCTCACATAACAAAATGCATAAAATATGGAACACACTTTTCAAGTACCGTAAGTGTTTCAATAGAAATGAATTCACAGTACTCACCGCCGAAAAGCTGGTCTTATTTACGTAGGGGTTGTGCGCCATCGCCATCGACTTATGAGCTAGTAGCAGGGCGAAAGCGTTTATCCCCCTGAATGCATCCACTCCTTTCACCCTTGAAGGGGCGTCGGACAGGTCAAACACTTTTCTCAAATTACGTTTCAGAGAAAAAGCGTTCAGAAGCTTCTCGAAATTGGTCACGCCCTCTTTCCCGTCGTCTAATATCGTCCCCAAGCTCAGTAGCAGGATGATTGCGAGGAAGAATGATCTGTAACAGAATTTTGAAAGGTTGCATTTGAAATATGTATTTGAATTTGGATAAGAATGCCTAGCTTTTACTCTATACTAGTGACCCGCGCGTGTGCACTGTATTATACATATAAACCTTTCTCTTGAATCACTCTATCTAGTAAAAAAACCGCAGTAAGATCCGTTGCGTAGTGTTAAAGATCTAAGCGTATATAATGACAGACAGCGGGACGACTTTGTTTTATACTATGTAGTGACTACGTGCTTAGCTTTTTATAATATCCCCCGTTAGCTTTGTATAACACGTCCAAGGTACAGTAGGATATTACAAGACAGTTATTTACGAGTGCCAGTATATTAAAAATTATGCAGATTAGACTCTATGAAACTTTAAGTGGTGTAAAGTTTCAAATAAAAAGCAACTTCTCTAATAAAAGGAAGATAGAGATTGCTTTAAGTAGAAAATACATTTTAAATAAAATTCTTTTTAATGTGAAAAGTCGTCGAGTGCGACTAAACGAAAGTATTACTTCACGCTGGTCTATGCGATTCCGTGGTGCTTTCCTGGATGAGCCTGCATATTCGTGCAACGGCAGAAGCCGATGCGTGGCCAGACCACAACGAATTCTCACTTCAATAAGCCGCAAATGCCTATAATTTTAACATTTACGCCTTGATCCGATTACTTAATGGCTCCATTGAATTTTAATTGCGGCATTAGTCTTTGGCAGGTTACATTTTGAATTGAAACAGCAAGTGGATGCATTTAATGTGCTCTGCACCGTGATGTTGACAAATGCAAGACGCCACTGAACAGATTGCTAGAGCAAGATGACGCCTACCGCTTACAGACATGTGTTGCATCCGAGGTTATTGCATATATATGCACATTGTTTCAAATAATATTTCCCAACGTAACGTAAAGCCGTAAAATTCCGAACCCATTACTTATAACTTTTAGTAAAATTACAGCAATGATTGAAGTATCAAACATCATTATACACTGTCATTATGACTCCGTGGCGCAGTTGCCAAGATATTGGCTTCGGTGTCGGGGGTCATGGGTTCGATTCCCACACGGACAACTATTTGTGCGTACGACAGATAGTTGTTTCGCACCTGGGTGTTCGTCTTTGTGCAATTTATGTTTGTAAAACGTCCTTACAACATAGGATAATGTTATCCTATGTTGTAAGGACGTTTTCAACATAGGTTAATGTGAGAGCAATGTTTTTTTAAAACCAAAAAAAGACTCAATTTGGACTTCTCGTGTCGTTCTTTATTTAACTGATCTACTACGACATCAAAGTATACGAACTTCGTATCAGTGATCGCGATTCTGAGGGAAAGTAAAGGACCTTCTATAATACTAAAAATAACTACGCTGTATCGGTGCCAAGGGAGCTAAAACTAAGAATATAATATAAAAGTGCTCTTTCATTTACTATAGTACTCTTACATAAAACTATCGAATGTCGCCTCCTTTTTTTGCTCTTCGATATGAAACAAATATTATGTCTATGATGAAAGGTATATAAACGGAATACATAAAAGAAAGGAATATCCTTAAATGCTTTTACCTGAACTTGCTTTCATCTTATACAAAAACAGACATCACAACCAAAAAGCTGTGAATAACATAAAAGCATGCCATTACGTTTTCTTATAAGATAGCAGGTGAAAAAGTAAAAGAGTATTTAATTAATTAACAGTCTATAAATGTTCCACTGCTGGGAAAAGGCCTCCTCTGTAAAGAGGGTATCAGGGCATAGTCCACCACGCGACCCTACTGCGGATTGGCGGACTTCACATATTGAATTTAAATAATTTTCGAAATATTTTTTTCTTATTATTTCGAAAATATGCAGGTTTCCCCAAGGTGATTTCCTTCACCACCAAGCACGTGATAAGTCAGCACTTAAAATTAACAATTTCATTGGTGCTCTCACCGGGGATTGAACTCAGGTTGCTCGAGTTTATTGAATTAAATGCCCAGACACTGAGCTATCATGGCTTAAGTCCCATGATATCCGCTCCGCTATCAAATCCACTGTACTATTATTCCTTCTTTTAAAGATTTCCAAACCAACAATATAAAATGGTAGGCAGCGAGAGGTATTGTTTTATTTTACCAGACAAGGTGTCTAGTCAGTGGCACATCTAAAGTTAAGTGATTATTATTTTCCATGTCATTACAACACTTTGGTGTTCACAGACGCATTGTCAACTTTTAAAGTGTAAACCCTGGTTGCCAGACGAAAGTTTAAAGTGTAATACCTCCGTTGTAAAATCAAAACGTGATAGTTGTCAACGACAGTTTCCGCCTCTATCTCGGTAAATTCCATGACCATCTCGAAGGTGTAACCGCTAGGGACCATCACCAGGAGCAGGCGGCATCTAATATACTACAATCACTTTGAAGCTTAACGCCAAGGTTTCGTCATATACGACGTGCCACAGTAAATATACTATAATAAGAGAGACATCTCAGTGGCATTCAGAAATGTTTTCCGTTTTTTGGGTTCCTTAAGTGCAGAAATAGCAATCTGAAAATTGTGCCTGGTGTTTTATGTATTTACTCAGTATTAGGTAAATGGAGTGGAAGGAGAATTATACTTTAGAACTTTGTGACCGTATCTTTTTTCCTCAACAGTCACAAATTCAGGGAGTTCGCATTCCATATGTTTTGCTGTCGAATGATGTCCTAAAAGAGCTAAGTGGTAATGCGATTGACTGGCATGTACCCATCCCTACTCAATCACCCTATACAATAAAGACGCGTATGTGTTTTAAATGTCGATAAAGAGCGCCTACAGTCTCATGATCGACTGCGTTATCCAAACTAAAGAGGATAATGGAATTCATGCGAAATTCTTTTATCCCTATTCTACGATGCTGAAAGAATTGTTTCCATATAATGGCGTGGGACGTAGGTCTAAGCGTTTGAATTTTTTAAAGTTATTCAACGACACTCTTTGTTGGCTTTATATATATAACAATAGATACATATATACATATATAAACGCTATACACGTTCATGCATTCAGTAACCTATTCATATCTTTAGCTTCCTTTACACCCGTATATTCTCAATGTTTGAAGATCATATGACGACCCGAATGGCGTAGTGCGTAGTGTACCTGCCTCCTGCGCCAGAGGGTGTGGGTTCGATCCCCACTACTGGAAAAATATTGTGTGATGAACATGGTTGATTTTTCTAGTGTCTGGGTGTTTCTATATGTATAATATGTATTTATTTACAAAAGAAAAGCATGTTTAAGTATGTGCATCAGTTTTCTAGTGCCCATAGTACAAGCTTTGCTTAGTTTGGGACTAGAAAATGTTGTGTACAAATGTGTCCTAAATATTTATTTATTCATATCAATTATATTACATCAATTATACTACTGAAACTAGTACATATATACTCGTAACTTACATCGAAAGCGTTTTTCCAAGAGAATAGGGCCTGTGGAAATCCTTGACTGTGCACATTGTGTTGTGAACTCTCACTGATATGTCGAGACTAGAAAGTTTCCTTGACATCTCCTCTTCAAGGTCGTGGCTGCTGCAGGAACTTGGTATGCAAACTCCCCAGAGTAAGCTTGAATACCGTGGCACACGGTGACCCATCTGGAATAGATACAAAATTACTTTTCATTATTTTCTTTAATATTTTTTACAGTCGCACGTAGAGTTATTTTAGGCGAGTCCGTGCAGAACATTATACTTTCGTACTTTTTATTATTTAAATTTTTACGTAGAGGGCATTTATTGGATTTGTTACATTTTTTTAAACATTTTTTTTATTTGATATTGCACACTTATTGGTTCCACTTTGGTCATTGCTTTTAATTATTTAATTAAGTAGTTCTGTTTAGCAAATATTGCGTTGAACTTTATTCGTTATGGTTGTGTTTTATTCTAATAATTATGTAATTATATAAGTTATAAAATATTTTAAGAAGGAGTAAATATTTTTTCGGGTAATGAAGAGAATTATGCAATAGTATCTTGCTCGCCCAACTTCGCAGGGGTAGACAAAATTATACCATTAAATTCTGGAAGTATAGGCTTTAAATACTTAGTATACGTTCAGTTGAGTTTATAATGGATTTACCGCCCTAAAATAAATGTATAAGTTAAATGAACATTACGATGTCCTTAACAGGAATATCACGTCGGCATGCACTAATTTGAACTGAGGTCTGCAATCTGTTGATAAACAAACTGTATCGTTATTTTTTATAGCGGCTCGTAGCGTGTCTCGACGAGTATCCATCCATGATCTCATGCCAATGATTGTACCTACTTTATCGTGATAAAATAGAAAAGATATTTTTAATTTTTTTTCCCTAAAGCTGAATAATTATATACGCGTCTACATGTTGTTTTGACTATGTAAGAAATTTAAAAGCAACGTCAATGAAATAATATATTTTCGTGAGAACGGTACAATGTTATTGTATTTTTGCTCTCTTTTTACATTAATTATCAATAGATTGAACAGCTTTTCACACTGAATTGCTTTGTTGCAATTATTAAGAATCACTGGGATTTGTATTGCCTGGCACCTCACTGGTTTTTTAGTCTCCTAGTTATTAACTATAAAACATTGTTAAGCTTATTTTTTCAAAAAATGTGAAATGAATTCGAACGGTGTATGATTTAAAGTTATACAATAAATAAGAAAGTTGCAATACTCAAAGTTCTACGTGCTTTATAATGTACAGCAGTAGAAATATTTGTCGTCAAAATAATAAGGGGAATAATCACAATATTATAATGTTCATTCACGCGACAAAAAAAGATGATGCAGTATTAAATAATATAAAGGAGGTGGGAAAATATCACAGCACGAATTGTAGAGGAAACCAGTGCAAAATTGCAATTTATCTCTACGCTAGACCTAGTCATAATTTAGTCCTGGGACGCGGTAAAATTAGCCTGATAAATTGTCCTCGTAATCTTCGCTGCACACGACGTCGCTTAAGCCCGGGATTAATATCACCCCCTTGCGGTGTATTACTTTAGTTCCACTAAAGCCACGTTAAAACGTGCCCACTTTCGTAGTTTTATATTCTCCTGGTACTCGGGCGTAGCCTCGAAAAGCGGGGTAACGCCTGCTTTGTGGCAAACTAATGCGAAAGGAAATTTTTCGAAAGAGCAAACAATATGAAAGTTGTATTCAGAATATTTTCATGAAGTAAGAAATCCTATTAAGTATGGTTTTCAGTATTCACCAGTGCAACATACACACGGTGAATGTAAAAATAAGACAGTTAACGTATGTATTTTTGGAAGATATCACGAGCTGTTTTCCATATTATAAATTATCCCAAACATTACATCAATTCATTATAAATAAATAAATATTTGAGACACTTTTTTAAACAACGTTTTCTAGACACCAAACTAAGCAACACTTGTACTATGAAACTACATAACTGATAAACATACTTAAACATACGTTTATTTTATGTATAAATACATATTTTAAATATATAAACATCCAGGACTGGAAAAACACCATCTTCATCACACAATATTTTTCGAAGGATGGGGGATCAAACCCACACACTCTAGTGCGAGAGGCACGTTCACTACCAACTAAATCGGGTCGTAATATAATCAAGGTCCGTAGCGAGCGTAATTCAACTTTGACTCATATTCAATTTTAACATTAAATGCGATAAATCCATAATAATAATTATATAAACGAGAATATACGTAAAACGAGAAATAATTACGTAATCAAGGTCGGTTGGCGTCAATATTATTTAAAACTGCACAGGAGTAGTAAGAAATGTTGGACGCCAAAACATTGTTGTTATTTTCAATGACTTCTTATTAATTGTGCTGTTACATAAATGTCGCATCTGTACAAAATTAAGAGAGCATATAATAAATTACATGTACTTAGTACAATAAATTAAAATAACACAATTAAAATAACGCACTATGAAACGTAGCCTGATCGAACCGTCTTACACGAAGCTAATTTTATATTAAGACCTTCACGTGAATAGGTGATAGATATGGCAAACGGCATTTGTGTATTAATCTTCTGACCTAACACGGAGAATGCTTCAGCAGTGCCATCCATAACTCGATTAATGCCGGAGCACGCTAATACCAGCCATACCTAATTTTTAAGAGCGAATGAAGCTGACTGTGGACGTTTTGAATGCATTATTGGCTAATAATGGACAATGGAGTTGCTTATTAAGCAATACGCCTCGTTTGGTAAGTACCACGGCCTTAAGAAGTGGTGTGGAATTATTCTACTTTCGCGTTTCGTCCGGCGTTGAGATAACCGGGTCCCACTCTTTTATAGGTTGTCGAGCATTTGTAATTCCTCAGGTGTTGTTGATGTCCATGGAAGGTGGCATTCACTTAACATTAGGTTCCTCTAATGTTAAATGAATACCGCCTTCCATAGACATCACATCATTGCTCACTTGACACCTTTCGCCTAAAATATAGAATATACATAGGATTTTTTTCCACTGACGACCACTTGGTTAAGTAACACCGTCCTGAAATTTGAACTCGGAATACAAAGTAGAATATTTTATTTGATAATGCAATGTCTCTTGGCACAGTTGCCTAGGCTTGTGCAACGAACATCACGTTTCTATTCCCGCTGACAACAAAGTTTATTTATCAATGATCATGTTTTGAATGAATGAATGAATGAGACAAAACAAAATCAGAGCATCCTTTAATGCATGTTTTAAACAGTGCAATGACGATTAATGCTGCTTGATGTTCGTCATTGTCACTGACATTATCTTTTCAAAAATGTATAATGTAAGCATATTTAAAAACGTTTACATGATTACATTCACATGATTGTGTGCCGACCCCACCTTGGTGTGATAAGAACAGGATGATGGTGATGATGATGATTGTATGTCAAAATGAGGTTGTTAATAGAGTTATAGTTATAAATACGTTTTTATTTATAATTCCATTTACAACAACGAACAAGCAAGTTTTATTAAGTAGAAAAACTCATATAATATACATTTATATAAAAGACGTATTTCGCATAAAGATGAAAAATAGCGTAAACGCGTTGAAAGTGTACAAACACTGTGACATGGCGTTTTTCAAAAAAAAATGCCATTCTATTCCCTAAAAAACAGAACTTGTTGACAGTGCGGTAGTCATTCATAAATGCGTCGTATACTTTTGAAACGAACTTGTGTGCGTGTTAGTTATGGATGAACGCGCGTAAATAAATGAGTTACCCATAAATCACGCACTTTTTGAGATAAGTTAAAATGAATGTAATTAATTAATTACGATTGATTACAAATATTTATAATTTACATATAACATTGTATATGTCTAGAATTTAATTAAAAGCCTCCCTGTATATAATTATTCTGTTCATGAGAATGTGACCGAACTCCTCCTATGCGGCTGGACGGATTTTGATGTGTGTTTGTTCAAGTGGATTAGAGAAAAGTTAGACTCACAATACAATGAACTACAAAATGTTTTTCTAATAATTCAAAGGCAAAATCAAAATTTCTTTTTTCAATATAGGCTTGTTTTAAGCTTTTGTAGCATTTTTTTTCTCGAACTTTCAAACGCCTCCGGCAATTCTGCTTGCGGGCTGAAGGTTGGAATGTATAAGTTCTAAGGGCCCTGGGAATGAGGTAGTATTAAATTGTCATAGAAGCCGTAGGCACAAATTATAAAATGAAGACAATCAGAGGATGCAAAGAAACATTCCTCTATACTGTACATGAAAGGCCATAAATCCAAGGGATTTGCCTGGCATTCTCACTGTTCCGAACTACGAATTAAATGCATTTAATATATTACAAGGTCTTGCAGTTGTAGTTGTCTTGTATCTGGATTTAATTAAACAAGTTACGGCATCCGAAACCAGATGAAACACTCAGCCAACTGGTTGAGCTGCGTATAGATGTTTCGATTGCTTTATAAAACTGTTATTTTTTTTCAAATTCAAGGCTTCTCTGCACAAATAAAGATTGACGCGAGAAGAGTTAAGAGATCATAACGAAAAAATCAGTTTTCTGAAGTTATAATACAGTCATTAAAGGAAACAGAAGTGTGTTTGCACAAACTTTGACTTTGTATCTGCACTGTAAGTGACTTTTATTCGCGGTGTGTAATATCGTTGAACAATTTTCAGCGGTCAACGAGGTTCAAGGGTTTACGGTGTAGCCGTTTCTCGCTTACAAATAACTCGATTTAAGCGATTTCTTCAAAATACGCTTGCTAATCAGTTCGTTTTATGCCATCGGAGCAATGTTCACTGAGAAATAATACTATTTTGAGAAAGTCGAATTTCGCAAACGCTTACATACGCTGCATTGCTAATTTTTTTACACAATTTCTCGATCTTTTATTATAATAAAGCCGATTTAGGCTTTATTTGGATTATCGTGTATTTTATGTTGAATTATATACATTCAAATTAACGATATTATATAATTTGCGGAATTAAGTAGTTTTTTTTTTCAATTTTAATTAATTTTATTTTAAAAGTTGCAAAACGAGTAGGCGGCTATCCGGATGTTAAGAGATTACCGCCACCCATTGACATCTCTCAGGTTCTCAGGTCTCTTTCTCTCATTCTTCGGACGGACCTG